AATATTTTACTGCCCCTGTATAAAACTATGGTACGCCCACATCTTGAATACTGTGTACAGATGTGGTCTCCTCACCTCAAAGAAGATATTTTGGCCTTGGAAAGGGTTCAGAAAAGGGCAACTAAAATGATTAGGGGTTTGGAACGGGTCCCATATGAGGAGAGGTTAAAGCGACTGGGACTTTTCAGTTTAGAAAAGAGGATACTAAGGGGGGATATGATAGAGGTCTATAAAATCATGAGTGGTGTGGAGAGGGCCGATAAAGAAAAGTTATTTATTAGTTCTCTAAATAGAAGAACTAGAGGACACCAAATGAAATTAATGGGTAGCAGGTTTAAAACTAATAAAAGAAAGTTCTTCTTCACACAGCGTGTAGTCAACCTGTGGAACTCCTTGCCAGAGGAGGCTGTGAAGGCTAGGACTATACTAGAGTTTAAAGAGAAGCTAGATAATTTCATGGAGGTTAGGTCCATAAAAGGCTATTAGCCAGGGGATAAAATGGTGTCCTTGGCCTCTGTTTGTCAGAGGCTGGAGAGGGATGGCGGGAGACAAATCGCTTGATCATTGTTTTCGGTCCACCCTCTCTGGGGCACCTGGTGCTGGCCACTGCCGGTAGACAGGATACTGGGCTAGATGGACCTTTGGTCTGACCCAGTACGGCCGTTCTTATGTTCTTATTGTAGAATCTCCATCATTGGAGTGTTAAAAAATCAATTTAGATCAACACCAGTTCAGGAACGCTGTAGATAATACTTAGCCCTGCCTCAGTGCAGGAGAATGGACTCAATGACCTATTGAGCTCCCTTCCAAGACAACATTTCTGTGATTCTAGACTATTGTTTCATCTCTGGAGCCAGTCTTGTTTCAGTCCTTAAAGTTTCAAATGAAAATTAATTTGCTAATAGAAACAGCATATACTTATTATGTATCATAAACCACCATAAAGTCTATCAGGGTTCTCTGGTAAAGAATCATTAAGCCTAGCATATCAGAAATGGTAACTGTAGTACATTGAGACACATATATTAGAGCCATAAGGTCTGATTCTCCACAGCTTTGCTCTTTGTGTAGTCACATGTATATGTACAAAATGGGTTTAAAGTGCTTCCTTTTTGATAATTGTATATTCATATGCACATGTACAACATGCAATGGTCTGGAATATTGGGCCCCTGACTTAAGTAAAAAGCCAAACGGAACATGTTTGCAGCCCCTGTACACACACACACACACTCACACACACACACAAAAATTTGAGTTCATAGATACCATTTTAAAAGGCAGAAGTTGTTCCGCTCCTCAGAATTGGTCTTAAAATATAGAAAGGATCCATCTTTCTTATTGGCTTCACCTGGAAGAGGAGCAGGCCCAGAGCATAAAATGATTAATTGTAGAACCTTACCTTTCCCAATTAAAAAAAAAATCGTAAATGTGTTGTGGATGAAAACAACCAGGTCTTAAGAGGTAGAATACTCTAAAATTCTACAAAAGCGGCGAGGTGTCCTGTGGCACCTTCTAGAATTGTATACATTTGGTAACATTTTGAGATTTTTTTTTTCTTTTTTAATTCTGGTTTAACATATCCTAGTTATGTGATACCATCATTATGATAAACTAAAATGAGCCCTAGTTCTCACTAGCCTAATAAAAAACATTGTTCTTTGCCTAATTGAGTTTTCAGATAATGTTTCAAATCCCAGTTATTACTGCTCTTGTCAGCTTATTGGCGCCTCTCACTGAAAAATATTATGTTTCTCACAAGCAAGTCTGTATCCTTTCTCAGCTGTCGCTTTCTTCACTGTGTAGTATAGAAGTACAGCCTGAGAACAAGGGGACAGAAGCAGCTAAATATGAGTAAGACAAAAGTAGCCTAGAAAGGAGCCACTCCAGAGGATGAGAATAATAGTTCCGCAGAAGTGAAAAATGCCAGTAACAGGGTTACTCCTAGTAAAACTCAACACAGATTTGAAGATGGATGAACTTTTGCCATTAAGCAAAAAGCAACTTCATCCAAGCAGTGTAGTAGAGTTTGTAGAATGAAATGATAGTTAATCACCAATTGGGGCTCTCTTCCGTTATTTGTAAAGAACTGTGCTACTTTTGCTCTGAAAGCAATCTGTTTTTGAAGTTATAGACAGAAATACTGTTTTTGATTCTGTGGCTTTCCAATTACGAGTTCTATAAGGTGATTCGTGTGCTTCTTAGACACTTCACACTTAGTAATCTAAATCTTGGAATTCTGAAATTTGAAACCTACACGCAGAGTTTCTACAGGAGTGGTTTCTTATTTCACCAGATTACTTCAACTCTATTGCAACAGTAATATTATAGGCTGATTGCTGGAAATTGAAAGTAAGTATTAATAATATTTTAATATACCGGTTTCTTTATTAAAAGCAAATTAAGAGCTAGAATGGATTCAAATTTCCTGGATTTTATCATGTTTTAAATTGTAACAAACTTAGATTATTTAAAGGTATTTGTGCTCATCTGATGAAGTGGGTTTTACTCACGAAAGCTCATGATTCAATATATTTTAGTTAGAATCTAAGTTACTACATGATTACTTGTTGTTTTTAATGTTAGACTAATATGGCTATCCCTCTGAGACTTCAGTTACTTTTGATGATTTGAATACATTTTTTTGGTTTTTTTTTAATGAGGAAAAACAGTCTGGAACATGGATGAACGGTAGTATGCAAATATTTAGCAATTGCTAACCAGTTTGTTTAGGAAATTTTTACTACTTGTTATAGCATGGAATGCTATTTAATGGAAGTGTTTTGTAACATTAAGCTATGGTATTTCTCATTGTGATGATATCTTTGAAATCTGTTAGATGCATTTTATTGTAAAACATTGGCAAATATGCAATGAGCTGGGACTGTAATGCAGTGGTCCCCAACCTTTTGGGGCTGCTGGGAGCCCGGGGCCGAGGCCGCCCCTGTGCTGCACGCCTAGGGGCCGGGGCCACCCCTATGCCGTGCATCTGGGGGTGGGGACGCTCATACGTCACGCGCCCGGGGCTGGCACAGCCCATGTATCACGCCCCCAGGGGGTGGGGCCACCCGTGTGCCGTGCGCCATGGGGCCGGCACTGCCCATATGGCACGCACCCGGGGCTGGCACAGCCCTTGCGCCGTGCACCTGGGGGTGGGGCCACCCATATGCTGCATGCCCAGGGGCTGGCACTGCCCATGCACCACATGCCCGGGGGCAGGGCTGGTCCCGATCACTCGGCGGATGCACAGAAATGTCCCAGCAGGCGCCATGGCACCCGCGGTCACTGTGTTGGGGACCTCTGGTGTAATGGATAGATGAGAAAGTAGTAGAATGCAAAGTAGCAATGCAATGCTGCCTGGCAGTGTAGAGAAATGATTGTACTTGGTCTTCAAAGCCACAGGATCTGTGCGTGTGCGTGTGTGCGCACACAGATACAGGATGTATTTGTATCTTAAATGTAAATCTTTTCAACATCAGTAATTGTTCCTTTAATTTTCACGGTAGCAGTTGTTGCCAGTGGGGGAACTAGTATTCTTTCTCAAATTCAGGCCTATGTAAACCTCATAATTAGAAGGATTGAAGTTCTAAAATCAGACTGACTGTGCTGTTCCTCCCACAGGAAGAGCAGGCTGCTAAACTGAAAGCTGAGAAGATCAGGGTTGCTTTGGAAAAGATTAAAGAGGCACAAGTGAAAAAGGTAAACTGTAGTGATATTATTTTACATGATTCCTAGGGATTACATGTTGAATCAGAAAATATGGGTTTAATTCTGCTCATCACTGTGAATTACCCTTCAACTATTTTTAATGAAAAAGGACTTCTTTTTATGTTTAGTTTTTCTTTTGAGGGACTCTGCTATCTGATCTGCAGTTAGGTTATTCTAATTTTAAATAATTTTTCTATTCCTTTTATTATACACTGAGGGCTTAATCAAGAACTTAGACTATATGGTGTGGTGTTAAATTTTTCTTAAGTTGTAGTTTATTCTACATCCAGATAAGGATTTAAGACTTGCAATGTGCATCCACATCTGAAACCGAGATCCAGCCATATACGTTTGTGCCTTTGTCTGTTCAATAGCCTCACATTTTAAACTGTCTTTGTATCAAGCTCTCCAGCTTCGTTTGCAAGCTACAAATCCTCCTTTAATTCATAATAATAGGCAGAAAAGTAGCAAGTGGAAAAAATACGTATGGTATTTGATGCTATGTCCAACGTAGAAAAGACATTGCCTCCAAATTTAAGAACTTTGTCAAGTAATTTAGAATCAATATTGAAATATATTTAATATAAATACATATGTATATCTTACTATTAAGCATATGATGTCAATATTTTAAATAACTGAAAATTTTATTTAAATAATGGACGTTTAATAATTGCAAAACAAATACTGCAACACTGCGATAGAGCTTGAGAATTAAGAACAAATCAACCAATTTCTTGTAACTTCGCCAGCTGCGTGAGGTGTGAAAAAAATAAATAGAAGGTGGAAAACCGATACCAACAATCTTGTTTTATTAAACCTCTAACAGATTTGATTGAGGTATAATTTTTGTGGACGCTGTCTTCTGTTTAAAGTAATAGTGAAAGAGCAGGGAAGTTCTTAGGATTTGCAAACTTTTAAATTAAAGCATTCTGCCAACTGCATTGTCCATCGTAATTGCAAAGGCACTAGTGTTGGGGCCCATCTATTGCATTTATGTATAATTGTGGCTTTTTAATCATACTTAAAAACTGAATTTCTTGTATTATCTCATTCTATATGTTTTAAGTGTGTTGTGGTTTCTTTTGTTTGGTTGGTTTTTACTAAATAGGATGCAAAATAATGTGGACATATATTGTACTCTGGGGATGAGTTTTCAAATATTTCATTTACCAGTAATACGTTTCACTTCATGGGTCATTTTCAGGTTTAAACTAGAGTAAATGATGGATTCCCCATAACTTGAAGTCTTTAAATCATGGTTTGAGAACATCAGTAGCTCAGCTAGAGGTTATGGGTCTATTTAGGATGTCCACATGTCCTGTTTTTAAAGAGATAGTCCTGTATTTAAGACCTCCTGCAGATGTCCTGACTTTTTCTTAAAAATTGGCAAATTGTCTCGTATTTTCTGCCTCCCCCCATCAGTATTGGCAGGTCCTGCTGCTGCCTTGATCTCTGCTTACCAGATGCCCGCCCACTAGCATTAACCTGGGGATCCAGTGACTGATGATGGGACTGGGTGTGTAAGGCTGATGGGTGAAGCTGCAGTGTGCAGGGCTCGCTCAGTTCTCCTGAACATCTAGTTATTAAATATCGCTCTTCACATCTTTAAGGAAGAAGGAAAAGTTTGATATAAATGCTACCTGAGTTAAACTTTATTTTTTTCATTAGGTTCAGTAAGAAATGTGCATGGGAAATTAATCCCTTTTATTCCTCCTTCTGGTCACAGCTGGTAATCAGAGTTCACATGTCCGATGACAGCTCCAAAACTATGATGGTGGATGAGAGACAGACTGTAAGACAAGTATTGGACAATCTGATGGACAAATCCCACTGTGGCTACAGTTTAGACTGGTCACTGGTAGAAACCGTATCTGAATTACAAATGGGTAAGTAAAACATGTTGATGCTTTCTTGTTGTCTTATTTTAGTAATGTTGACATTTGTCCATAAGGGTTTCTTCATACTACTTTAAATATTATAGATCCATAAAATTGTTAGCATTCATCAACCTCTGTTGGAATACATTTTGATTTTTGTCTGTTAATATGTTTACAGTACTGCTGTTTGCTGTTCCTTTTCCTGAAGAGTTGCAGTATATTCCTTTTCAAACACACTATACTACTAACAGAAGAACTAAAGTAAAAGCTGTAATATCCTGGGAATAATAAATTGGTCAATGTATGTACTAATTGGTAGGCTACTACCTAATACTGTGGGAAGGGGATAAAAGCAGAAAAACACAATGCTACTAGCTGTCTGTATGGTGCCTTGCACTGATCCTAAAAGCTCTCCTATTACAAGGTGAAAACAGGAACAGGCCAGCTCTCACTTATATAGCCTTTGAGGATTTATTATTACAGCAACGTCTAGAGGCCTCCAACAGACATGGATGCGCCACTGTGTTCAGAACTGTACTGATACATATTTGAGTTCTGGCTCCTAGGGCTATGTATATACTTTGGCTGGGACTGTCTCTCTCAGCCCGGTTACACAGACATATGCTAGTAGCACTCGTCTTTGCACATAAAAAATGGCTGCGTGGCTGCTCTGGCACCACCGGCGGCTCAAGCTAGCCACTCAGACGTGGACATAGGATGGGCTTGAGCTCAGCTAGCCTAAGCCTCCCAGTGCTGTGGGTGTGAGTATGCATGCAGTCCATATGCCTGAGACCAGAAGACTTTTGCTGTCGGTGCTCCTTGGGCACACCTATACTCCTTTCCTTGTGCTCTAAGCCAAGGCCATTGTACTGCCTCGCCATCAGCTTGCGGCCCAGATTGTTTAAGATTCCAGGCTATATCTGTCCCCAGTCTTTCCTGGCCAGAGATGAGCCTCAGAGAGCTTGCACTGCCTCACAGACGCACGTATCTTTGCTGAGTGCTATCTGCCTTTCTTCACCCATCCATAGCTAGCAAGTGCAAGTTTAGACTTACAGAAACATCTCATGAAGCGTGCTATGATGCCCCAGTCCGATCCAGGTCACACATACCTTTCCCCTCTGTACCCCAGGCAGAATTGCTGAGGAGTATGTCAACTAGAGCACTGCCACTTATGAAACAGGAACTAGCAAAAGCAGAACCAAAGACTTCTCTTCCCAGGCTCACTATGAGAATAAGAATCTCCTTTATATCCATGAAGAAAATCTCCTTTATATCCATATCTAAGAGGAGGACACATCCCATATTAGGTGACTCTTTGCACATGTTTTTGGGAGGCTTGAGATCACATAAGAAGCATGATAGCAATCCACAAGCTCCAAACAATAGCAATGCCTCAATAGCAGTATTGTCAACAGGCACAGCACTGTGTGTACTGAGCTAGGAGAGATGTGAGCCAAGACTGGGACGACCATAAATAGGGACAAAGGACAAGCACCAATAACTGTCAGTACTAATGCACTCACATCTGTTTCCAAGGGCCTTTCTACCCTGGCTCTGAAGGTGCATGAGAAGAGTTTTCATCACCCAATTACTAAGACTAAATACCCTACTCTGGAGGATATCGTCATCCTTTCAGATCCAGAACCTTCATTGGAACCAGCCCTTTCAAGGGACCCTCAGACACTGTTGATCCACCAACGCTGTGAAAGGAGTCACTCCTCATTTCCTTCTATCTGTCAGGGCATTTCTTCATTGATGTTACTGATGGCACTGCCATTAGAACTGTCGCCTGCATGTTCCTCTTCAGGGTTCTTATTCCTCATGCCATTCCTGCATATTTAGGTGGTGTCAGACAACATGACAACAGTGTCTGTCGGTAAGCAAGGGGGAGCAAAATCTTACTCCCTTCGCATGGAGGCAAAATTGTAAAACTGGTATATTCATCACCATATTGCCTTATCAGGAGTACATCTCCCAGTGGTACACGGTAAACTACTGGAGAGCTTCAACATTCCCTTCTCAATCAGCTGTGAATGGGAGCTATAAGATTCCATGGTGAAGAGCCTATTAAGACAATAGGGATGCCTGTCTTTGGGCTTGTTTGTATTCCAGCAAATGCAATATATACCACTCCAAAAGGATACTCAGCTAGGACTCCTGGGAAGATGCTCTTCTAATCCTGGGGGCAGGACACTTTAAGGTGCATATTCTCCCCCACCCCATTCTACTCATCTTAGTTTTTCCAGAAGGTTCCGCAGGATGGAGACGCGATCATCCTCGTTATTCTTAGGTGGCCCAGACAGTTTTGGTTTCATAGTCTTCTCCAGCTGGCCCCATCAGTATAGAGTCTTTCACAGACCTTTTGACACAGGACATGAGCAAGATCAAGCATCCTGGTCTGGATTCCCTCTATCTCATGGCTTTGTATTTGGATGGATATTGAATCCAGAGCAGACATGTTAAATATTTGAAGAAGCCATTCTTAATAATTGCAGAAGGGATTCCAACAGAACATAGCTCAATAGAAGAGATTTTCTATTTGGGATCAACATCACCAGATGTCCCCAGAAACATCAAAATTTGCACTGTTTTGGATTGTGTGCTCACCATAAAAACCTCAGGTCTTCCCTTTTGTTCCCAGCTCCTACATTTGACAAAGCACCCTCCAGTTGACAACCATTTCATTTTTACCTATCTAGTGACTGTTTTTTATTGTATAGCCTCTCTAATCTCCCTGAACATTTCACAGTCACTATCACCATCCTGGTCAGGGAATCAGTAGTATATCCCTACTGCTAGTCTTATTATTCATACATGGAATTGCTATGGTACAGTTTGGTTCATTTGACTCTCTTTAATATTAAACCAGCATGCCACTGTACACAAAGTTGTCAATGACTTCAAATTTCTACTAATTTACCTAGAAATCTTTATGTAAAAGAGGGAGGAGCTCTTGTCACAGAATTCCTACTTAAGTGTGTAGTAAAGGAAAGAAGGGTTCTGCGGCATCTTTTTCACCGAACCTGAAGTAACAGCAGGGTGAACTATTTTCCATAAATTGTTTTGCCTCATTAACTGTTCATGAAGGGAACATACAATGAAGTTTAATATGCTCCTTTAACTAATAGACTGCAGAAGAGCAACTATTCTGCAAAGTTCTTGGGCTTCATTATACCATTTCACTTTCATCAAATGAGGTAGAGATTGCTAAATTTTCCTGTGAACTTACATTAGCTGTGCACTTATGTACGTACGTACGTGTGTGTGTGTGTGTGTGTGTGTGTGCAGATGTTATGTGTGTATATAGTCGACTTTCAATTAAAAAATTGAGTGTTCTTTCATTTAATTTTTACACAGTTCTTGTTTTAAAAGAAAAAATCCATTGATTCATGTATGAACTATAAATTTCAAATGAGATAAATAGCTGAAAATAGAATAGGCAGGGCTGCACTGTAGTGTTGTTTTTCTGTTGCAAGTATACAAACATCTAACCAACAAATATATTGTTTCAAAATTTTTAGTGTAGTGATTATTGTTGGTACCAGGGATTAAGTTGACTTTTTGTGGTGAACTACCCTGTTTCTTCAAGTGTATTCAGTGAATAAAGTGGTGGTATGTAGCAACTGGATTGGACAGTGACGACATAGTGCTTCTGACAGTGACCACATAGTGCTTCTGACAGTGAATCCATAAGTTGTAACTTGAAAGACTCTGAAAGGCTCTTACAGATATCTCTTGTACAGTAGTGCCCTGTATTGTTCCCCTACCACATTCTACTATAAAGATATCTAATGAATGACAGGCTGCAGAGTATCCTTAATTACTGAAGATGTTGAGATGTTACCTGTCACCTCATCCTTCATTATAGGGGTAGCTTGTAGCCCTGGATTATCAATATTTGATCAGTGCTATCTGCCCTATGGTAATAATACAGTATGATTGATGTGTGAAATAAAATGTAAATCATGGCCTACTCTCATTTGATAATGAAAGGTCAGGTAAGCACAATTGATTCTGAAAGTTGTCTTTTGCTTAAGTGCAAATGTTTTCCATTGTAAGGAAAAGATACAGTAAAACTCTGATGGTCCGGCATCTGATGGTCCGGCACTCCTGATGGTCCGGCACCATCAGGAACCCGGAAATTGGACCATTGGAGCTGCTCTGCCCCCAGCTTCCCCGATTCAGCTGCTGCTAAAACTGACCAGCGGCTGAATTGGGGAAGCCGGAGGCAAAGCAGCTGGGGCGCTGCCGGGGAGGGCCCCTAGCGCTGCCCCCCGGGGCTCTGGA